AGGGCTGTTGTACATAGGGTCGCTATGAGTCGCAAGCAACTCAATGGCACATAACAACAAACAACAACCTGCAGAAAGCTGAAGCAGGATTCACATCTCACCCCATACACAAAAATCAACTCAAAGTGGATCAGAGACTTAAGGGTAAAGCCCAAAACCATGAAGATTGTAAGAGACCAAATGGACTAAACTTAAAAACCCGAGACTATGGTACAAATACACTTACAAATATAGCCAGAAATGCACAATCAGAAGAGGATAAAATTGATAAATGGGACTCTGTAAAAATTAATTCACTGTGTACATAGAAAGCTTTTCCAGTTAGGTAAAAAGAAAACCTACACACTGGGGAAAGACATTTGCCAGTGACATTTCAGACAAGGGTCTCAAAACCAAATTTATAGACTACTAAAGAGCCACTGCAACGAAAAGACGGATAACCATTCACAATATAGGCAAAAAACAAAGAAAGGCTTTTCACAAAGGAAGACATTTAGATGGCCAACTGACATATTTAAAAATGCCCCAAATCACTGGCAACCAGAGAGGTATGCAAATCAAAACCACAATGAGATACTATCTCACTCCAGTAGCAAAGTTTATATAGCAAGCAATAAATGTAGGAGATGTGGAGATACTGGAACTCTCATGCACTGTTGATGGGATTGTAATGCTAAAACCACTCTGAAAAGTATTTGGTATTTCCTAAAAAAGCTGAACTTAGAAATCCCACATGATCCAAGTGTTGCACTGCTAGAAATATATGCCAAGGAAAATGGAACTGAGACACAAACACTTATGTTTATAGCAGTGTTATTCAGAATAGCAAGAAAACAGAAATAGCTCAAATGTTCAACAAATGAATAGATTGAGAAATTATGGTACACAGTGGAATTCTGTGCAGCACTAAGGTGCAATAATTTTGGAAAATACTATATAACATGGGAGAATCTAGAGAGCATTATGCTGAGTAAACAAATACTGAGTGAACAAACACAAATAAGTACAAATACTGTATAAAAACCATTATTGTAAAAACAGAACTGTAACTAGTGAGATGTGGATAAAAGTCCAAAAGTGGAAGGGATGGGGCCGGGGAGCAGGGAGATGGGAAGGGCAAAAATCACTAGGATCACAGAGTATGGTGCAGGGTGAAAGAATTGGGTAAGATCCAATAGGACCTGAAAAGCTGGGGTAAGAGTAGGCATAGATCAATGGTGAGTAATTTTATAAAACACAATGTACATTAGTTTATTACAAAATTTAAAAAGTTTAAAAAAAAAGACATTGCTTTGCATATTGAAAGTGCTAAAGAGCAACCTGTCAGTTTAAAGAGTAAACACTTCTCCCAAGCCATGGTAATTTCAATTGCTTCAAATGCATTTGAAAGCTGAACATGAATAAGGAACACTGAAGAGGAGTTGATGCCTTTGAATTGTGGTGTTGGTGAATAACATTGAATAATATCCTATGAACTGCCAAAAAAAGGAATAAGCAAATCCATCTTGGAGGAAGTGTGATCAGGCTGCTCCCTAGAGGTGAGAATGGTGAAACTTCACCTCATACACTTTGGGCATGTTGTCAGAAGGAACCTGCCCTTGAAAAACATCACACTGAAAAAAGTAGAGGGTCGGAGAAAGAGAGGAAGACCAGATGGACTAACATTATAACTACAATGGGCTAGAGCATGTCTGAGATTGTGACAACAGCATATGATCGGGCAAAGATATGTTGTTCATCAGATCACTATGAGTCATAGCTGAGTTGATGATATCTAACAATAATAACATGAAGCAGACACACCATCCAGCTGTGGCCCAAGATGTCCAACATCAGCTCAAATACATTTAATTGGTGAGAATTTGTCATGTGACCGTAGCTAGCTGCAGGAGACCAAGAGTGATGCCAATTCATGCCCAGGGGGTTGCCAATTTGCTCACCAGGAAGCTTGGGCTATATTCTCCCAGAAGGGCTTGATCACAACTTTGTTTATGGTGTCCCTTTATTAGGGTACAAAAGTTTTACATTTTAGTGTACCTAAAATTTCTGGTATTTTCTTTTAGGGTTTGTACTTTTTGCATTTTGTGTAAAAAAGTCTTTTCTTGCTCAAATCCCAAGCCCTAAGAGAGATGTAAATTAAAACAACTATGAGATATCATCTCACCCCAGTCAAAATAGCAAAATTTAACAGAACAGCAAGCAACAAATGCTGGCAAGGTTGTGGAGAAACTGGAACCCTGATTCACTGTTGGTGGGAGTGTAAAATGGTGCAACCCCTGTGGAAAGCAGTATGGCGCTTTCTCAAAAAGTTGCAAATAGAGATACCATTTGACCCAGCAATTCCACTACTGGGAATATACCCTGAAGAGACCATAGCTGACATCCAAGCAGATATATGCACACCCATGTTTATTGCAGCTTTGTTCACAATAGCAAGGAGTTGGAAACAACCTAAGTGCCCATCAACAAACGAATGGCTACAGAAGCTGTGGTATATTCGCACAATGGAATACTATGCTGCATTGAAAAACAAGGAACTCATGCAATATTATTCAAAATGGTTGACTCTGGAGAACATTATGCTGAGTGAAATATCCCAGTCACAAAAGGACAAATATTACATGATGCCACTGTTGTAGAATGCGACTAACCTCGGGGTTGGGGAGAGACTGAGTAAGATGGGTTCAATAATGTATACTGCACTGAAACAAAGGAGGGAGAAAACTGTTTAAAAGAGATATATAACTAGGTATTTCTGTCATCACAGGAGTCTACAGCGAGGGGTCCATGGTGGAGGGGACCTGGGGGAGGGTTTGTAAAACAATGAAAGAATCTTTTCTTTTACTTTTCCATAATTTTTGACTCATGTACTTATAACTTGTTAGTCAAATTTGTGTCTTCTAGGTTGCAACACCCCCATGATACATCTTCAAGGATATGAACATGTATGGCCAAGCACAATCAATAAGAGTGCATCTAAATTCCAAAATCAATCTCCATAATAGTCTGTGTTTCCTACTGCCAAAGGGGCCCTTTAGAGTAGTGAGAGAAGATCTTCACCCTGAAACCCACAGCGTCCCTTTTCAGCAGGAAGTAGCTAAGAGAATACGCCATCCCCTTTTCCTTATGAATCAGGGTGAAGTCTCTCTCAGGGAGGAGTGATAGGGAATGGCAAAGGACACACCGACAAAGGAGATTAATCAGAACTGACTTTGACAAGCACTGTGGCAACTGGACAATTAAAACAGACATTCAGATGGCAGGGAAGAATAACAAACTGGGGAGGAGGGTGGAGAGAATGGTGCGGCAATGAAGGAGTGAAAGCCCAGAATCCCTGTGAATGTTCATTGAAACTAATAAAATTTAATAATAATAATTTAAAAAAGTCTTTTCTTTGGCAAGGGCATATAGAAGAATGTGGATAAGAGAAATAGAAGGTGAAAGAGGCATTACTGTAAATAGGCACGGATTACAAATGCAACGAAGCAATTTGAGATCATGGTTGGTCTTCATGGTAACAGAAAACCGTCTCATCCTTAGAACAACGTGGGTTCAGCTCTCCAGCACCTGCCCCATCAGTGCACACTCCCTGTGTTGAGGATACAGACACATGATTGGTGCTTGGAAAGTAACTTGACATGCCCTCTACCTGTGACTTGCCTCCCCTCGTGCCACCTCCAGTGTGAACATTGAAGAACCTCTAAGAAGGCACAGGTGTGTCTACATCAGGGCCCAGGGCCTGTGCTGAGGCCTGCACTAGCAGAAGAACCAAGTTCAAGATTCAGAGGATGGAAGTTGTGGAATCCTTTGAAGATCAAAGGATTGCAGAATCCTTTATTTAATATCTATGGGACTCAGTTTCCTGAGATGCTGGAAATTCATCCCCTAAGTGTTTCTCTAGTTACTCCTTCGGGAGCTCGGACGGCTTAGTGATAAGGAGCCCTGCTGCCAACTTGAAGGTGCACGATTAAAACCCACAAGCGGCTCCAGGGGAGAAAGCAGGACAATCTCCTCCCCTGAATTTATAGCCTCTGAAAATCTGCTGGAGGGTCAGCTGGGAGTCAGTTCCACCTTGAGGGCACATAACAACAAAAGTTTCTCTTTAGTGAACCTGAAGGGAACTGAGATCATACTGACTGCTGACTCATGGCTGCAACTCTACTCACCAGGAGACCTTTTTTTCTCCCATTTTGTTTAGAGAGTGTCTTAATTTGTTTGTTGTTATATACCATGGAGTAAAAACTGACTCTTAGCTGACCCTTCAGTGGGTTTTCAGAGGCTGTACATCACAGAGGAGGGAACTGTTCCTATTTCTCCCTAGGAGAAGCTGGTGGATTCAAAACGCCTGCCTTTAGGTATAGAGCGGAACTCCTTACTCACGAGGCTGCCAGTGCTCCCTAGGGATCTAACAATAAGCCTTTGTTTGTTAGGGCTGAAACAACAAGAAACATCATAGGTGGGCTAGTTTTAAAGAACAGACATTTATTGGTCCACAGTTTGGAAATAAAAAGTCTAAATTCAGACTATGAAATTTAGGAGACTAAAGTCTCTTCTTATTGGTTAAAAACTCTGTTTAACTTCATGAGGGAAACATTTTAATAATAAGCATGGCATAGCTCATTGAAATAGGACAGGAGCCAGGGACATACCAGGGTCCAGGGGGCAGAATTACTTGAGAGGTTCAAGGAAGCGGTAGTGAAGAAAAACCAAATTCAAATATTCTTTTCTTCAGTTGCTCCATTCTGCACAAGGTTCAAAGACCTTCAAGGACTCAGCTAGTAAATCTGAGATCACTGCCAATCCCATGACTGGGGAGGCAGGGCACATTTAATGGGGTAGGGAACAGAGGGGTACTGTTTCAGGGGTGGAGAACGAAAGCATAAAAGCCATGGCAGGGACAATGGTCTGGGGGATTAGCAAAAATTCCTGGTAGGGAAGGTGGTGATATCCTTCCAAGATAAAAGGGTGAACTTAAAAAGTCCACTTAACAGTAAGATTTCTTATGAGTATGAGGGACCACAGCAGGCAGGCTTGCACACAGGGCGGCAGATGAGGGACATGCAGGAGGAGGTAGGGGCACAGCAAGAGGAGGTGGGCACACAGCAGGCAGGCTTGCACACAGGGCGGCAGATGAGGGACACACTGGAGGAGGGCTTGCAGCAGGAGGAGGAGCAGACAGAGGGCTGGCAGCAGGAGGAGGCTGTGTAGGGGCTGGACCCACAGCAGATGGGTTTACAGCAGAGAGGTTCACAACAGACGGGCTTGCAGCACACAGGTTCACAGCAGATGGGCTTGCAGTAGATAGGTTCACAGCAGATGGGTTTGCAGCAGACAGGTTCACAGCACACAGGCTTACAGCAGACAGGTTCACAGCAGATGGGCCTGCAGCAGATGGGTTTGCAGCAGACAGGCACACAGCAGCCCTGCTGGCAGGGGGAGGAAGTGCAGCATGAGGACTGGCAGCTGGACTGCTGGCAGCAGGAGGGCTCACAGGAGCTGGTGCAGCCTGACTGGCAGGGGCTGGACCCACAGCTCACAGGGGTGCAAACCAGTGTGAGACAGGAGGCTGGGGCACAGCAGGTGGGGACACAGCAGGTGGGCTGGCAGCAGGAGGACTGGCAGCAGGTGGGCTGACAGCAGGAGGACTGGCAGCAGGTGGGCTGACAGCAGGAGGACTGGCAGCAGGTGGGCTGGCAGCAGGAGGACTGGCAGCAGGTGGGCTGGCAGCAGGAGGACTGGCAGCAGGTGGGCTGACAGCAGGAAGACTGGCAACAGGTGGGCTCGCAGCAGGAGGACTGGCAGCAGGTGGGGGCACAGCAAGGAGGCTCACAGTGGCTCTCAGGACAGTCTTCCACCTCCCAGGAGGAGCTGGGACAAGCACTGGGCAGGCAGACACGGCTGCCATAGCTCCTGTTGCTGGAGCAGACGGACATGGTGGAGGCAGCTGGAACACAGGATCCAGAGTAGCAGGTGTGAGCCATGGTGGGACGGAGGAGGTGAGCTGGGAGGAGGGTGAGTGAGTGAGTGAGTGTGTGAGGAGCTCTGGGTTCTCAGGGCTTTTATATCCCTGATTGTATGTTGTCCCAACAAGAGACCAACAAGTCTCTCTTCCTTGTTGTTGTGTAGAGTCTAGTGAGCTCTCATTAAACCAGTCTGGTGTTACATTTCTATGAGGTGTCACTCGCCTTGTAAACTCCTGAGTATAATTTGGAGCTTTGTTGACCCATTCTAACCTTACATGTGTTTGACTCTAGAACATAAAGTTAAGGAAGAAGCTACATGCCTGCAAACAAAGTCTCCCTTACTGGGTGTCTAATGCTGTTGACTGCACAGGAAATGTGTGTAGTCTCATCTGTATTGCCCTCAGATGGGACATGTGGTGTGGCCCCTGGAGCTCTGGGATTCTCTGTGCTCTCAGGCTGGAGAAACTAGGTTGGAGAGGATGTGAAGGCCGACATGCGTCTAGAAGTGACTCTCCAGAACTCTCTCTGGAGCAGGAGGTTCCATGAGGGTTTTCGTGCAGGTGACAAACATAAGGCAGGATAGTCCTGTGGCAGTGTTCCCCACATAGGCTAGCCGATTGTCTGGTGTGTACTTGCACGCTTATCTCCGTCCTGACGTCTAGCACAGATTCCTGTGTTTGTCCAAGACCTTCGCATCTCAACCTGAAATTATTTAAAATATTTCCAATCCCCATACCTAAAACATATCCCTTGAGACTACAACAACAAAACCCTCACAATCATCCGTAACAAAATCTCAGGTGTAAACTGGCAGTTACTGCTTTTGTTTTTTCCTGTTTATTTTTTTTTTATTGTTAACCAAACAGTATCTTGATCATCCAAGCTAGAAACCCAAGAGTCATCCAAATTTCTTCTCCTTTCCACAAATGATATCCAGCTGACCACCATGTCCTTTTGTTTCTCTGCTAAGAATTGTTTCAAATCCTGTGCTTCCTTTGCTCTCTAAGCACTGATTTCCTCACTGCATGGCAAATATTTCCCTGCTGGAGTGGGAGCCATGGGTGCTGTGATTCTGTGATGTTTATGATGAACAGAGACAAGCACTATTTCTGCTGATCAAGAAAAGCCAATGGTTTAAACCATCGTCTGCCCTGTGGGAGGAAGATGAAGCAATCTGCTTCAGTAAAGATTTACAGCCCTGGAAACCTCAAGGGCAGTTCTATTTTGTCCCGTGGGATCACTATCAACTCAATGGCAGCAATTTTTGGTTTATTCTAATCTCTAGGTTCTGAGAAAGCGATGTGGCCCTGACTGTGGAGCTCTGCCAGGGTGGAGAGGTTGTTAGTGTTGTTGTAGATGCCGTTGAGTTGACTACGACTCATAGTGACCCTATGAACAACTGATCTGAACTCTGCCATCTTCATTATCTCTGATATTTCTGAGCCCGTTGTTACGGTCACTGTGTCAGTCCACCTCCTTAAGGGTCTTCCTTTCTTTCACTGACCTCCACCTTTGTAGCATGATGTCCTTTTCCAAGGACTGATCTCTCCTAACAATATGTGAGATCCCAAAAGGATATACCGGATGTATGTGAGATGAAATTTCACCATCTTTGTCTCTAAGGAGTGTCCTGGTTTGTTCTTTTGGCCTGGGATATACAGTTCTCCTCTCCAAAAATCACAGCTTAAAGCCATTGACTCTTCTTCTGTTCTTATTCATTATTCAACCTTCATAGGAAGTAATTTAATAGACGGTGCCTTGGATCAGGTAAATCTTGGTCTTCAACCTGACATAATTACATCTAAGTACTTTGGAGATGGTCTTGAGAGCAGATTTTCCTAATGTAACATATCTTTTGATTTCTTGACTGCTGGTATCAAGGGTGTTGATTGTATCTAAGCAAAGTCAAATTGCTGACAACTTCAATCTTTCCTCAATCTATCATGACATTGCCTATTGACTCGGTGGTGGTGAGGATTTTTGTCTTTTTGATGTTAAGACACGTGTGTCTTGACCCACCCCTTTCCCTGCTTCACCAGCATTCCCTTCTATTCCATCTACTCCATTCAACACCCATATCCCCTTATTCAGCCTTGATGTGATGGCTTATATCGCAAGCTTTATGGGCTTCTGTGATTCCGAATTCCTCAAGCTGCTGCCAGTTTTTTTCTGCTGCAGCCAGTTGAGATGGAATCTATGTTGAAGACTGTGGTCTTTGATATTCTGCAGCAAGAATTTCAAGTCCTCCTCACTCTCAGCAAGCAAGGTTGTGTCATCTCCATAACACAAGTTGTTAATGCATCTTCCTCAGATCTTGCCACTACATTCTTCTTATTAAAAACAAGCTTCTCAAATGATTTTCTCAGCATACAATTAAATGGGTATGTGGAAAGGATACAACCCCGACACACACTTTTCTTGATTTTAAACCTCCCTTGCTGTTTGGAGAACAGCCTCTTGGTCTAAGTTTAGGTTTCACATGAGTCAGGGGTGGAGAGGTGGTGGCTGTAATTCTATAATGTTGACTGTGAGTAGGGACAAGTACATCATATTTTGGATTCAAGGGAATGACATGTTCCCTAGATGGGAGAGCTTTTAGGAGTGGGGCTTTCTGGTGAGGGTATGACACTTGGTCTATGCTTCAAAGGTTAAAGTTCCCACCTTTCCTTGCTTGTTCTCGCCTCCTATAGAAATCAGGGGAGACTTCCAAGGATTCAGTAAATTTATGGGCTGGTTGTTCCTTTTATTTTTTTTTCCTAAATAAATAAAATTTTTGCTTTATTCTGGTTTGCTTATAAAGTTCATATACATTGTTTTCCCACCTGTTTTTTTATTTATTTTGACTAATAAGATAAATACAGATTAGAGCCTGGCCTTCTGCCCAGTTCCTGGTGTCTCAGGAAAGGAGGAACTAGCCATGTATTTTGTACATACATTAAAATGAAAATAAATAAATATCTACATAAATAAATAAATACATAAATAAATAAGCTATATCTTCTTCCATTGATGACAAAGCAGCTTTTGTTAGATAAATAATCCTGCAGAGAATAACTTGGAAAAACATAGAAAATACAAAACCATCAAAATACAAAAACATCTATTTAAAAACTTTTGAGTGCTGAGAATAAATTAGAAAGAAAAGGTAAAAATTCTAGTGATAAGGAACATTAGAGATGAGTAAGTATTCTTCAAAGGGCCTTCCCCCGTCAGAACAATTGCTGTTATCTTGGTGTGTTATAGAAGGTGGGGAAACTAGGCAGAAGACTGTGCCAAGGACACAGAAAAGCCAATAAAATGTTGGCAATCTCATGGGGTTGGAGAAAGTTAGGTTGGAATTTGTGACTTTTCAGATATTCAAAGGGAGCTCTTTTGGGCTAGTGGTAGAGATGCCGTGCCAACCTGAAGGTATGAGGCTCAAGTCCATCTCCTGCTCCACTAGAGAAACATAAGCCATCTCCTCCCATGTGGTTTATAGCCTCTGAAAACCGACTGGAGGGTCAGCTATGAGTCAGTTCCAACTTGAAAGCACGTAACAACAACAGCAAGGTAGCCAAGATTCAAGGAGCCAAGGTTATAGACCAGATCCAAAATCTACATTTGAACTACCAGGGAGGCTTAGCCTTTGGATTAACAACACAACTCCCTATAGAGTGCTATACGTGGGCATGTGTGTGGATGGATGGAGAGAGAGAGAGAGAGAGAGAGAGAGAGAGAGAGAGAGAGAGAGAGAGAGAGAGATGATAGATAGATAGATAGATAGATAGATAGATAGATAGATAGATAAAAGATAGATTGGTCAATAGATTGATCTCAAGTCTGATGTCATGGAGATAGAAGGCTGTAAGGAGCTGAAGTTGGTTTATTTCCTTCTTCATTCCCTATTGGTTCCCAAAATCTAAACCAAACTCACTGCCATCATGTGGATTCCATGATAACTTTCCCTTGGATTTCTGAGGCTGTAATTATATTTTTAAAATAATTTTTAATTGTAATTTTCATGAAAGTTTACAGAAAACTTGGATTTCATTCATTCATTGTTATGCATTTTCCAACCTACCCCACTCAGTTCACTTAGAAAAACCCCGTATTTATTCATTGTTGCATAATTTCTTCCCTCCCCCCACCCCGGTCCACTTTGCTATACATTTCTTATTCCAAGAAGCTATGGTGTATATATATATACATTCACACAATGGAATACTATGCAGCACTGAAAATGAAGAACTCATAAAATATTACACATCATGGGTGATCCTACAGGACATTACCTTGAGTGAAATATCTCATTCACAAAAGGACAAATACTGCATAATGCTACTGTTGTAAAACAGGACTGATATGGCAGTTGGGGAGAAACTATGAAAAGAGGGGATGAAAAATGAACACTGCATTGAGGTTGTAAATCTTTACAGGAGGAAACTGTCCACATTTTTCTGTAAAGAACCTGGTGGATTTTAATTGTTGAACTTTCTGTTAGAAGTTGTTATTGTTGTTGTTGTTGTGTGCCATCAAGTTGGAAATGACCCATAGCAGACCCTCCAGCAGGTTTTCAGAGGCAATAATGCATGGGTGGAAATTGTCCAACTTTTTCCCAGGGAACAAATGGTGGATTTGATACTAAACTAACAATATATGGCAAAACATCTTTCCTTGAGGGAGACCACTCTTAAGGAGATTATTACGACATATTTCAGAACAGTGGAGGCAAAAGGTGTTTTCCTCCAAACCTCATAGTGAGTACCTTGTAGGGAGGTATGTGGTGCCCCTCAAACTGAAGCTCCAGGGGATTTAGTTCTACTTTATTCCTCAAGCTTACTCACAGTCAGTCTCAGCTATTAGCCACTTATCCAGGACGTACTCCTACCTAATGCTGCATAATGATCCTCCTGGAGTTCAGCATGGCCAATGGGAGTGGTTCAGAAACCAAGAACCAAAGGCCTAGGAAATGACCATTGTACCTGACCAGGGAGGAGGCCAACCGCATCCCATTCAATGGCTGGCCTGAAATATAAGGAGTGCCTGCTCTGTGTCAAGAAAAGAAGTATGTAGACAATGGACACATTGAACCAGAACCAGAGGGGTGTTTTGTGAGACAGATCACAGAGCCCAGAGGTCATTACCAAGTCACAACTTGTCGCTCACAAGCCAAAGCCTGGTAACTCCTCATCCGTGGATGTGAGGCTCATCCACCAAGTGGCAGTAACTCTACCTTCACAGAGGACACAGAAAGGCCACACTATAGTGTTTTGGCTGACTTCACTTGGAAGATTTTTGTTGTTGTTAGGTGCCTTTAAGAAGACTATAACCCCTTAGAGACTCCATGAACAACAGAGATGAAACTTGCCCTATCCTGTGAGTGGATTCCAATTCATGGCAACCCTCTTTGGGTTTCACCGGATTTTGGGCTTCATATAGATGTCAGTGGTTGTCTGAGGGCTGTCACTAAGTTGACAGAACCATGATCCAGTACATGAGGAAGGACTCAGGTCATACTCTCCCACCTGACACCCACCACCCTCATGCATCTCCTGGGTCCAGGCTGGACCAGCTCCCCATACCCCACTCCTGTGACGGGACCCTGAAGCCAGACCACCTGTGGAGATTTATGAGCTGCACAACATCCATGCAAACAAACATCTCTGATGAGGTCTTGGACCTGCTAGGATACCAATCAGGAAGGGGAAGAGCATCATGGAGCTTTTGATGGAACAACATACACACAGTGGAGTATAAAAGTGGAGGCAGCTCAGAGCACACCATTCGTTCACTCACTCACTC